GAGGAGTGCTTGGCAGCTCGACGGGGGGGGGGCAGAGCTAGGGGTCGTATTTGACCAGCTGGGAGGTAGGGGTCGAGCCTGACGATGCAGTAGGATCATAAATGTCCAATGACAAACTTTAAGGAGTGATTGATGTTGTGGAAATGATCAGAGGATTTTCATTAAAAATCTTATTCCATACGCATAAGATTTTCGTGGTTTAGAGGGGTGCGCGTAGTGATTTTGAAAGCATCTCAGTGACTTATCGCGACAAGGTTGAAGAATGCCGAAATTGGCACGTTTTCCAACGTACATTTTGTCTTCCAAATGAGTTCACAATATGAAGGGATGTGAAGCACACGGTACGTCTCAGAAAGGGCCCAGTCAGTTGCACGCGCTTCAGCTACAGCTCCCTGAAGAAAAAATATCGATTCACAAAACATCAAGAGGATTTTGAAAGGGGTCTGTAAAATGACAGGGACGAATTCACTACTCAAGAAGAAGTGCGGTTTTTATCGTCAATTTTTTTCAAATATATAATCGTAAAAGTTGAAAGTTGCTGAACACTTCTACATTTTTTGGAACGAGGAAGCTTTTCGGTTCCAAATTAGCTTTCATTGTTGAACAAAATCCTCTGTGAAATGACTTATAATCGTTGATAGAGTGCCTATGCAGCGAAGGAGAACTACTTGGCGGTACTCGGCCAAAAACCCTCAAAAAAGCCGTTTTTGTAATTTTTAACCCATAACGGACAGTGTTTTTGTTACGTTTCCAACAATCTTAATATACCCGTATATACTCTCAGCAATGTGGAATAACATATCTTCCCAAGAGCTGGACGAGTGGATTTTTGACAAGCCTGCAATAAATTGCACGTACACTTTGTCTTAATTTTCACAAGCTTACTATTATATTTGATGGATGGGTTACAGATGATTCACTCGTCCCGAGACCCCTTCCCCTAAATATTGCCACATTGTTGTTCCGCATTTTTCAATGATTTCACCTGCAGCTTCCATTCATTCTTTGCGCCCTAATTTTAAAGCAGAAAGGCGGGTTACGAAGTTGTCGTCAACGGAAATCTCTTCTTTAAATAGAATGATGAGACCCGAACACCTACTTTAGCCCTGTCTCAACCCTGCTGTCCGCATGGGCCTACATAAACTCTACCCTGTGTGGCGGCGTGCGCCACCATGTGTCGCACGCAACAAATACACTGGCCGTCCATTATGGGTTAACGGATCAAGTCTCTTCAAACTTCAAACCATTGAGTAGTGCAATCTTCCACTGTGAAATGCTGTACTAAATTTCAGTTCTGTCTGATTTAGAGGAAATTATTGCTTTCGGACGAGCAATACTCTCTCTTCTCATATTTTCTCCAAGTTGTTTTTGCAAAAATCTACAACGGATATTTCACAAGAATGCTGGGTCGTGAACAAAACTTTCGCCCCAGGGGGGACTAGAACACGTACCTCTCGCTTTCCGGGAAGTGCACTACTAACTACGCTACCCTGGCACCATTTCATTTCAACTCATGGTCAGCTTGACATGGTATACCTGCCATAGCTTGTTAGCTCTCACAACGCGTTGAGCCGTTTTGTTCATAACCAAGCACTCTTATGGAACATTCGCAAGGCGAACTGCGGTTAATAACAGCAGTTAACAAACAGAAGCACTTCATCGGATACATTTTTGAAATACCGAACGAATCAAGTGATTTCGAGCCTTGGAAAATGTTAAAACTCGCACTCGTCAAGAGTTCTCCTCGAAGATTGTAGTTCGCCGTTTTTTTTTGCATTTGGCTATATTATTATAATGATTTTCATGAGAGGTTTTCGTGAAGGTTAAAATAACTTTTTCATACTCGGGCTTGTGAGGTGAGTGTGTATCATAGACTTCTGCCGCTAGGGGAAGGTGAGAGAGTTTCCCTCGACGCCTCGCTTAACCCTGCTCTGCCCTCTTTCCAAATCCGCCAACTTTTTTGAACAGGTCATTTTCGAAAAGAGTTGTGAATGATCTTCTTCCATTCCTCAGTTTAGTACAGTCTGAGGTCAGCCTCAATAACAGCATTTTTACAATGCGTTTTCAACTATCAAATTCCCAATAAAAACAGCGGTTCCCACTGTGAACTTAGGTTTCATGACTTGTAACCTACTCATGTCAGATAAGTTCAGCGTATTCTGAAACCACAGCACAACCCCGCATTGTTCCGGAAGCGATATATGCTGCAAACATTTTTATAAGATGACTCAAATATGCCAGTTCTTAACACGTTGACGACCGTGTGGTATGATGTCTTGCCACCCTCTTTAGACAGCGTGAGGCCATGTGACATGATTTCGTGTCACAGTCTTCTTCGAGCGGGTTTCCAGCTAATTCAGGTAACTTATTTATGCGATGTATACGCCATGCTTATGCATTGTTTCAAAAGACGTGTCTCAGGAAAGAAGCTTCGGTTAATGGGCTATGGAGTTTTTCAAAAAGTGTTTGAATAATGATCAGTAGCCGCGGTTTTCGGGCTCAAGCTAAAGTAATCGGAACAAGAAATGTTTGCAATGATAATTTGCTGCGATGGATAAAGACACTTTTGGTAGAAGACGAAATATGCGCGTCCTTGATCCTGCATAGTTATAGCCGCTTCTGCCTTGTGTGGGAACGTTTCCCTCCGTTCCTCCTTTGCCGCAAATCCTTGAGCTGTGAGTGGTTTTCGGAATGTAGGTCCGATTGCAATCCAACGATCTACGAGTATATGAGGACGGCTAGGTGTTTCTGTTGAGCACATGTGTGTGTGTATGTTTGAACCGGAGAAATTTCATAGCTCGGTCACTAGTAAAGATGACAGTGGTTACTTAAATATGTTATAGAGGGGGGTGGGATGAGGTACACAAGTGGTAGTGATAGGAACTGATAACGACTGTAATGTGATAAGACGTGATAGAAAGCGACAATCGACAATTTTCGTTTTGTCGATGCATAATTGGTAAGAGAGGTCCTCTTACAGTGCTTATGTGGGGGAGGGTCCGAAACATTGGTAGGTTAAATGAGTGGAAGCGATAGCAATGATAAGGGCTGATAAGATTGCGCGAGATATACGCAAAGGAGCGTCGGATACCATTGCCTTGCTGCATTGAACAGAGAACAATTACAAGTATTATGTGGGTGGGACGGGACATTTGTTGAGTGGGGCCGGAAACTAGATAACGATGGTAAGGGCGATAAGGCGCGCCAGCACGCTGTGAAGTCGTCGATTCAATTCCTGGCTCGCGTGACAACCAAGAAACCAGACTTAAAGATTATGTGGGGGGGACGGGAGACATGTTTGACTGGCTGCCGGAACTGATAACGATTGATTAGGAGATAAGGTAGGTCAGGAATCGAAAAGTCGTTTAGTTTTGATACGAGCAGTTTGGAAATAGAAGCGTGGCCTAACTTACATTGTAGTTAAGTCGGAGGTAGTGCAAAAGGAACGGGCATTATTCGAATATATGTTCTAGATTACTTAAGTAGATTCGAATGCATAAATTTTTAAAAACAAGTCTTCAGCGAATGGAAAGTTCATTATTGATATTAATGAGAACCTAAAGATTAAACCGTAATCCTTTCGGGGCTCTAAATAATTGATGAACGTGTCAGTGAATGAAGCATTCAGGTCTATTATGTAAATATGGCATATTTCGTTGTTGTTTTGAGACTGACAGCAATACTATTCCGCCTAATTATCTAATTCAAGAAAAATGTTGGAGGTTTACAGTTTGTGTAGATAAATTATGACAGTTCAGCTCCAAGGACGTGGGTATCACGCAATATTCTTCGATGAGGCGTCAGTGAAAATGTGAGGGTCTAACAGTCATTAGGTGAGATGGTTAGATGCGAGTATCTCATCGCGGATTTCATGGTATTCCAATTTCGCTAAACCTGCCGACTGGGGATGCGCTAAGATAGCGGGCGAAGTCCAAAGACTGTCTTCTATAAGCTCATGATAAGTGATGTGGGAGGGTACCCTCTCAAACGCACGTTAGCTTTGGCCCTTTCTACGCGCTCTCAAATCGCAGAAATCGCTGAAATGGTCAGAATCGCAATTGTCCATTTGACATCGATTTCCATAATTACCCTACATCATAACTATTAATAGGAGGGAAGAGTGTGTTGTTATCACTACAGAGCTGGCACTATTTGCGGCCTTGTGTGGCTTTTGACCTGGATGATCAATCCCTGCGGGGTCTTCCTGGCGGGGCTGGGTCGTGGCTTCTGCATAGTAATCAACAGTGGGGGCTCAGTGGAGGAGGGGAGGGGTCAGCGCTCTTAAGGGGCCTTTGGGAGTGGTTTGACCAATAAGTAACATCTAACAAGGAGGTATTCCAGGTCAGGCCACGCTTTCCAAAACGGTTTCTTGCATATTGTAGGGATGCATATAGGAAATACAAAACCATGTTTCATTTTCTCTGAACTGTTTTAGCAGTACCAAAAAAGAAGTATAAGGTTTGTTGATGGTTCAATCACCCGTGGCGACTAATTTTTGCGTTTGGGTTGGCGCCTACGAATTATTGCCAAATCGGGCTAAGTGTCAAAAGCAAGTGTCATATTTAGCGCCAGTACCATTCTGAAGCCAGCAAGTAGCCGCCAACCTTGATTGCATAGTCGCCGAGGATCAAACCGTTGAGGGTATCATTCGCCACTTCTTTGTTACTACTTAAATCGTTCAGCGAAAACGAAATATGGTTTTGTGGCCCAAAATATGCAAGAAACCGTTTTCAGAAAGCTCGGCTTGTCCTGAAAGACCCCCTTGCGAGTCACACGGGAACAGAAACAGTGAGCGATCGAGACTGGTAATAGCTGACAACGGGTTACAATGGCATGAGATTGTATATGTCATCAATTTTGTCGTGTTTTTGGCTGTGATTTATCGCAAGCCCATCAAGTTAATTACGATTTTTGCAGTGATGTTGAAGCGGCAGCAGCTAACCATCGATGAGGGTGAATAAAGTGAATTTGAAGTACCACTGACACATTTACTTTTGCAGGTTTTAAGACCATTGGCAGAAGATTTGGTTGAAGGAATTATCGATGGACTCAGAGATGAAATAAAGGAAAATGAATGGATGGATGACGACTTCAAGAAGGTAGCGTAGTATAAGCTTTTTGAGTGCATGTAGCGACATCAAGACGATAAGTGCATCATGCACGTCTTTGGCAACCTGTCCACAATATTCTTTTAAAAACGATGCGGAAATAGGAATTGTTTTTTGTTTTCGAAGACTCCTTAGGAACAACTTAACGTCTCTCAAAAATAAGGATGATGGAGAGCGGGAGGCATCGAGCGACCGCTGTCGAAAATAAAATGCCAAAGAGACATCTCTTTCGAGGTCGATCGATTCTGCTTCTAATGCGCGCCACGCCATTGGCTTCATTCACGAACGGAGGTTCAGATTGAATTCGCCTGAACAGTGGCGGATATTTATTACCAGCGGCAATTCTCCTGCTCCTGCCATTAAGTGCGGAGAATGATATTTCACGATTTATTCGGCTATTGTTTACAATTGGAGTACAGGAATACATATGTAATTATTGAAGTACAGAATGACAATAGTATAAACAATAGAAAAAACGATAAGATAAAATAATTAAAATATATGGACGATAAATGACAGGATTTATACGTTATGAATTAATCTTATACGGTAGAAATATAAGGCACAGAGAAATGGTTGAAGGGATAAGTAATTCGGACCTATTCCAACGGTCATGGAGGTGGAAGGGAGGTGGGAAGGTGGTACTATGCGGAGGGAAGGGCAGTGGCCGGCCAACACTGCAAGCCGTTAGCCGAGATGTGGCTCCGGATACCAACTTAGTAGGTCCGCCAACCCTCCGCGGTCCACATTTCCGACAAGTTTTGCTTCGCCCGCTATTGCGCGCATCACACGGTAGGTTTAACGAAACTGGAGGGCCTGCGGAAACTCCGTTTGTCTACTCCACAAAGCAATGGTCTAAGGATCAGCAAGCTCCAGTTTCTTGAAGTCTACCGCGGATGCGCGTGAAGGTGAAACTGCAGTGGTATGTTCATCACAACTCTGTAAAAGCTCAGCATTTTTCTTGAATCCTGACAATTTACCGGAAGATTAGGGTTCTGCTGCCAACCTTAGAATGAAAATCCTACTATATCTAGACGGGTAAGTTTGTCTGTTTG